CCAGAGGCCCCCCAGTCCAGAGCCAGACACCAGGGCACACACCAGCCGAGGGCCCGGCAACCCGCCCGCCAGAGCCCGAGCCCCCCCCGCCCCACCAGAGCCACAGCCCAGGGGCGGCATGCCCCCAGAGTCCCAAGCCCCCCGCGCCCACCCCGACCCGCCCCAGCACGGCCAGGCAACCGGAACAGCAACCCACGACTGCCGCTACAAACTACCTGAGGGCCCACATGCAGCCACCAGAAGACCTCCCCCAGAACCACCAAGGCCCTCCCCAGAGCGAGAGCAGCGTCACCCCAGCTCCAGAACCCCCAGCGGCCAGCTCACAAGAACCCTCCAACCCCTCAGACCCCAATACACCCCCACCAGCCTCAATGCCCCAAGAGGTCCGATCCCAAACCCCCCACCCTCACCATGTGATGAAACTAATCAAAGGAGCCCAAACAGACTTATCTGATGTGGCGGCAGAGGCTGTTCAAGATCTTTTAAAAGAAAATTTGACAAGTCAAAATGTAAATCAAGATATCTTAAATGACGACACTAGGTTCGTCATTTGAAGGGTCAAAAATCCATAATTACAATTCAAGAMGTCTCAAACGCAATTATGACAAGTCAAAATTACATTTTTAGATATCTGAAATAAGTATTTGCACGTAAGACCCCTTGCTGCAACTTAGATGTCCAAACAATTGCTTGCAAAATTTTGCATGGCTGCAAAGACAGACAATAATTATCTGTGTTTCATAAATCATGTTGAGCTGCAGATAAAAATCATGTTAAAATGGGGGTGGTGGGGCAGAGGGTAGAGAAGCCGAGTCTGTGATCGGAAGGTCGCCGGTTCGACTCMCCGCAGACCAACCAGCCCCACTTTGGGCCCTTGAGCAAGGCCCTTAACCCCCCAGCTGCTCCCCGGGCACTGTAATTGGCAGCCCACTGCTCCACATGTGTGCTCACATGTGCGATGGGTAAAATGCAGAGACTTAATTTCCCCACCAGGGGATCAATATAGTGTATAAAAAAAAAAAAATAAGAATTTGAGTTGGACTGACCTGACACTGCAGACCACTGAGTAGCAAACTGCCTTTTAAACTTTTAGCGAAAATATTTTGTAAAWCTATATTTTGACTAAACATAATACTTATTTAAGATTTCTTGTAGATGTTTCTAATTAGTCAGAATGTTAATAGAAAAGCTGTCTTAATGAAAAAAATATTCAAGATAAGAATTCATAAAAGTAACTTTGACTTGTCAAACTTACAGTTCTAGATATCTGTAATTTAGTTTTGCCTCGTCATGATTAGCTTTCAAGATATCTGCAATTTAATTTCCTCTAGTTGAATTGACATATCTGATATTTACTAATACATTTAAAATGCCTTGAATAATGATGTCATTTAAAATATCTTTAATTGGAATTATGACTTGTCAGAACAAAAAGTGAGATCTTTTGAAAACAAATAATGACTCGTCAAAACTAACGGAGATATACTAGTATGCAGGTAAATATTAGAGAATGCAATTAGAATATCTAAACAGGTATTTTGACAAGTCAGAATATAATTAAAGATCTCTTGAATAACTAATATGTCTAGTCGTAAACCTATTTCATATATCTGGAATGTCAGTGTGGTGAACCAGACTTTATGTTAAAATGTCCTGCCGTACCAAGAGATAATTCTGACAAAGTGTGGTCAGCAATTTTCCCCCCAAATAAAATACAGTATTAAATCATTTTGCAAAAAGGAAGAAAAAAAGAGTTTAAAAAACAAGTTTACAGTCTTTGTTTCACATTTTTTCCTTGACTTTCCTTCTGGTCTAAAATAAGAGACGACGCCGAGCTCCATCATGGAACAGGTGGCTGCCATTCAGAGCAGAAAATGATGGGGATGCCTAGTACCTGTGGTGAGGCAGTGTTGGAGGTGGAGGCTTGACCTGATGAGTGGGAGTTGCCTCCCGCCTGCAGAGCTGCAGCAGCGTAGCTCAACTTGTCACCCTGAGGAGACACTAAAGATAGAGAGGAGCAGCAGACTGTGAGGGAACACGAGAACCATTAACGTTAAATAGTCTGACAATAAAGAATGTCTTTGAGATCACTTGTCCCCAGGCGCTTTTAAGTAGCTTAAAATAAAACCTAATTAGGGTTTTTATTGTTCAACATTATTACAGCTTCGGCAGCACAAAGAGCTGTTAAAAAAGAAAAGATGCATTTAAATAAATGGATTCACCTTTGGGTGAAGTGCTGGACTTGGTAACGTTGTCTCGGCTGAAGAACAGACTGCCGGGCTGAAGGTTGCCAGACGAAGGAGACTCGTCTTTCACCTTGAACTGTCCCAGTTTTGTTAGTTTCTGACAGGAAAGAAGTTCAATGTAAAAAAAAAAGGATTAAGGAACCGACTTGCCTTTTTTCCTCTTAAAGCAGAGAAAATGTTCAGCATGACAAATGATTTCAAAAGTTGAAAAGTTGACAGTCTGTCAGTGCTGGATTTTACCTGATGCAATGTGACACAAGGGAATGAAACTGTCTAATAAATATGCACATTCTTTTAAAAAAAGGTTTCCATCACTTTATGTTTCACCCTGTCTAAACCTGAAACTTTGCAACCAACTTTTATCAGGTTATTTTATTCGTAAACTAAGATTACATTGAGGCAAATCAGGTTCTCCATTCAGATTTAAAGTCTCCTCTGTTTTCCTATTAGAAACTGTTATCAGAGAAATTACCGTGTGCCACTAAAACGTCACAATTAACCCTGTAGTTTTTCTTCTCAATCCTGCTATTTTATCTGCAGTAATGTGAATAACAGAAGTCCGGTTGGGAACAGCACAAAGCATAACTTACAGGGGAGGACGCTGGCGGCTCGTTTTTGTCAGGTGGTGAATGGAACTTGACAAAGGCAAGCCCATATKCAATGCTCTGAAAAAGACCACACAAAATAATTCTCTCTTTTAATAATTAATCTCAAATCTGTGCAGTTTAATTTAAGTCTCAACAATGATGCAGAACGACTCACAAACATCCATTTTATACAACATTCAGTTTACGTGACAAAAAAAAAACACATCTGTTTATTAGGAGTACAACAATAATTCATGGTTCGGTTCAATACTCTGGTGTCACGGTTCAATATTTTTTCTATACAAAACRGAGAAATGTCCATGCCCTTCTTMACTTAYAATTTATTGAAATTAATTATGAACATTTGTTTAACCTCAAAAGAACAGTTTTAAATTAAACGTTGCTGAAACAAGTTTCTCTGTGGATCTGCGCTCGACAATGCAGCCTACGTGGAGTAGTCGAATGCAGATTCACTGATCCTTCAACACAGAGTATCTTCAGAAAACAAGTTGATAAAATAAATTTTAAATATCTGCATTGTTTGATACATAGTGTGTATTGAACCTAGAGCACTATATTGAACATTGCTGCACCCTTACTGTTTATATGTAGCTGATTTCATTTTCAAACCTCCCACCTTGATAATGATGAACATGTCAAATTCAAGCTCTGTTGCCCTTATGTATATTAAACGTGTTCTCATTTCAGACATCTAACCCTCACTCCAACACACACATATGGAGTCAAACAACAACTCAAAAGAACAATGGGCCTCATGCAAGAACATGTTCGTATTTTTATCCTAAATTTCTCTTACTTTTGTTCGTACAAAGGGTTCGTAC